ACTAGATTCCCGTCAAACAACACAAGTCATAGAATCTACAGTTCCAACCCTTCCTATTTCAAACTCTGGTTGCAGTGTTCTTCAGCAGTCCCTTATAAAACAAACAGATCATCCCCGACTTGTGAGCCAACCATTTTCTTCAGATCCACTCAGGATGCAATTCAGAATCGAAATACAATTATACAATAGTATACAATCGATACTAGCTGTGTTTGATGATACGTATTTGATCACTAATGAGACAGAGCAAACCCAAGATTCAGATGTAGAAAGGAACATCTTCATGGCCTCTGATGTGCATCCAGAAACTGAAAGTCACACTCATAGCTGTAACACTGAACAAACCCAGTGTCAGCAGCCTGAAAGTATTGAAAATCCAGATGCTGGCAGGAGTGGGAATCAGCCAACAGCTGATCTAGAATTCAACTCAATTCCTTCTATTCATGAAATCAAATCCGGAGGCGTAAGACACGTGTCGTACCTTAAATTCCAAGAGTGTGATCTTCAAGAAGACCCTGAGAAGATCACTGACGAGAATAGCAATGATTGTGCTGTTGAAGTTCAACATGACTCAAGCCATATCAGTGACAAGCGAGCAGAAGAGAAAAAGAGTCTACCAGATCAGCTGTCTGAAAGAGGAGTCAAAGAAACGTTGTCCAAGTTCTCATTCTCAGGTTGTTAATTTTTTAAGTGTTTTAAAAAAAAAAAAAATTATGCAAGCTTTTAGTGCTTACTTTTGATTGAATTCTGCTGTAATATTATACATAATGAAAAGTGCCAATCTTTTAGTGCTAATATGCAAAAACTGACCATACAATGAATTTTGAATTATTATTTTATTTGATTATTTAATTTATTATGCTCTTTTAAAATGTGGATGCATTTATTATTTGTTATTATTCCTTCTTTGCAGGATCCTGAATGCCAAACCAGTTCCACTGATGACAACTCCAGCGTATTCAAGATACATCACTGCTGTTACTGCAAGCAGCCACATCATAGAATGATGGATCATCTTCAGTCAGTTCATCCTAATGAACCAGAGGTGGCAAAAGCTCTCACTTTTGACAAGAGCTCACAAGAAAGGAAACAACTTTTGAACCTTCTACAAACTAGGGGAAATATTCTACACAACACAAATGTGGTTCAAAGTAGTAAACAAGATTCAAAACCATTTGGGACGTTTGCATCGGGTTGTTCATTTGATGATAGAGTTTATTGCATCTACTGTTTAGGGTTATTTAACAAGAAGTCTTTTGCTTCACATTTAGAGCAGTGTAAGGGCAAATCTACTCGCAGTGCTGAGGCTAGCTGTGGTGAAATGCTTTCTAATGCTGGGCCCATTCCTCCAAACCCTACACTTATTACCCCCTCTAGTCCAGAAGAGATTGATGCCAATATAGAACCATCAGGTTTTCATTGCCTAAATACCCTCTATGAAGCCAATTTTAAAAATGAACAAGGAAGTTCTTCCCTTCCAGACCTCAGCTGCTATGAACAAACAGACATCTCAAGTCCAAATGAGGAGTTTCGAAACAATAGACAGGCAGAGGGTGCCATTTTACAATTCAGACGTTCTCCTGAAAATGAAGTAGGTTACGAATTGAAGTCAGGTAATTCTCCCAATCCAAGCATTGGACACGAATCAACAGACTATAAGAATGAAGGAGTAACTTTCCCAAAGTGTGATGTTGATCAAGAAAGGGCTATGAGACTAACATCAGACACAAGCTCCATCGGTCCTCACCCAGAATACGACGTTCTCAGAAATGATGATCCATGTGATGATTTCAGTCCACCTCAAAATGCCCAAACTGTGTGTAATGACACACCCAAGAGTAGCGTGAAAGCCCAAACGTATGCAACAGGGAAGAAGAGGAGGAGGAAGAGGCGCTCACGTGTCCATAATCAGGTGAAAATCTTTGTTAAATTACACATTCTGAACTTTGTACTCTGTCTAATACAGGGAATGTTAACACTTGAGCAGAACTGCGAAGTTCCAGTATCCAGTATATAGCCAGTATTTTCAATGAACATAGGATAAACAGTGGTGTTACAGTCCGTACATTTCTGCCATATGTACATTAACTGACAGTCACCACTGATGGGCTACCACTAAATATTGTAGAAACTTAATTTGCTGTAAAGTTGCTTTGCAATGATTTGTATCGTGAAAAGCGCTATACAAATAAACTTGACTTGAATTGAATTGGTGTTGTTTTCTCCTCATTTGTATAGTCACTGCTCATGGATGATGACTTGCTGGGTGAAGGAGAGATGTCCAACTCAAAACAACATGTCTGCCAGCACTGTAAGGCAACTTTTGGCAGTCCATACACGCTGCGCAGACATGAATACACTCACACGGGTCAGTGTGTGCAAAACCCATTTTTAATACGCACATGATCACATATTGCACATATAAGCAAAGTAGTCACAGTGCCAAGGGCCAGAATCATTATTTATGCTTGTTCACATTTTTTTTTTTTTCATTTCCACACAGGTGAGAGGCCATTCTGGTGCCATCAGTGTAATATGGGCTTCATCCAGAAGTATCGACTTCTAAAGCACACATTTGCTTGCCATGGTGAGGTTATTCCACTTGAGTTGTTTACATGTGTATGTATTACATTTGTTTAGGTTGCTTAATACTGTATTTTTTACTTTTATGTAATTCATCAAAATCAGAGCTTTGCATGAACTGTTAAAGGGGTTTCTGTTGTCTTCAAGGGGACACACCAGACCAGGAAAAACTGAAAAGAGCAAAGAGATCAATTAAAGATGAAGAGACGTCAGTAAGGGATGAAGCTAGTATAGAGGTAAAGAGAGTTTTTGCCTCAACAATACTTTGTTCTGATATAAGAGGATGGAATTAACATTCTTGTTTTATTGACAGCCGTCAACAAAGAGTCTTGAGGATTTGCTAAATTCTGTTACAGTAGCAGACACTAGGCAAGGTAAAAAGTTACTGCTTGTCATGCAAACCTAAAAAGCAAAATACACAACAAGTATTTCTTGTCCATTTCTTTTCCACTTTTTTTGACTGAAGATGTTTTTGTTTCAGACACAGAGGTGAGAGAGTTCCATTGGGAAAAAGCAGAACACAGTACAGTCAAAGACTATGACACGGATTGCTAGAAGTTATTGTTTGCATCTTAGTGTTATGTTTTTTTTCATGTAAATATGTTTTACAATGTTGTCTCAATCTGATGGGTTCAATACTTTTATGGATTGGTTAATTTCAGCCTGCTGTATTGTACAGATCATAGCATATGTTTATTAATTAACTTCAGATTGAGAATAAAAAAAGGTAGAGGAATCTAAGTGTATATTGGTCTTTTTTTTGGTATCTGATATGAGACTTAAGGCAGTTTTCAGTTATTCAGTTACAGTTGAGACTAGGCATTTACTCTATTACTCCAGTCTTCAGTGTCACATGAACCTTCAGAAATTATTCTAATATGTTGATTTGGTGCGCAAGAAACTTACCATCAGTGATGAAAAGAGTTGTGCTGCTTAATGTTTTTGTGTAAATCATGAGACATTTTTTAAGATTCACTGATGAATAGAAAGTTCAAAAGAATAGTATTTATTTGAAATATAACTTAATAATAAATAAATAAAAATAAAAAATAATATATACACAAATCTAAAATCATTATACATGTCTTTGCTGTCACTTGATCATTTAGTATAACCAACTATAAAATCAGCAACTGCTAAATGTGATGTTTTAATTGCTTGTAACAAGTTTCAGGATACTGGTTTCAGTAAAACGTCTGAGTAATAAAGCAGGTTTATGAATGTTGTAACTTAATGACACAATCTCCTGATAATCATTTGTTAAAACTTTTTTTTCCTAATGCATTTGGCTACATAATTTGACTTTTTGCTCAGTATCCATACTTTCACTTGAAAAGCAAAATTATTTAGAAAGTTCAAAAGAATAGTATTTATTTGAAATATAACTTAATGTAAAAATAATATATACACAAATCTAAAATCATTATACATGTCTTTGCTGTCACTTGATCATTTAGTATAACCAACTATAAAATCAGCAACTGCTAAATGTGATGTTTTAATTGCTTGTAACAAGTTTCAGGATACTGGTTTCAGTAAAACGTCTGAGTAATAAAGCAGGTTTATGAATGTTGTAACTTAATGACACAATCTCCTGATAATCATTTGTTAAAACTTTTTTTTCCTAATGCATTTGGCTACATAATTTGACTTTTTGCTCAGTATCCATACTTTCACTTGAAAAGCAAAATTATTTAAATATAATTTTTACACCATTTTTATTCATCAATGCATTGTGATTCAACTGAACGTTTGCCCCACAGAGAATTCAAGTCAAGTTTATTTGTATAGCGCTTTTCACGATACAAATCGTTGCAAAGCAACTTTACAGCAAATTAAGTTTCTACAATATTTAGTGGTAGCTTATCAGTGGTGACTGTCAGTTAATGTACATATGGCAGAAATGTACGGACAAATCTATTAAAGACGTAATCAAACAGACGATGAACACTTAACAGGAATTATTATATGATGCAATCAAACTTATAGCAAAATGTGGTAGTTCTGTTTCAGGGTTGGCATCATCTCTTCTCAGGTGTTCTGGATCCAGACTGAAGCTTGTGTTAATCCCAGCAGAAACAGAGAAACAAATAGAGACTAAATTAGCGTAGCTGCTGTTCCAACCAAGCAAAATTGATTTGTTAAATCCAATAAGTAATATCTCTGTCAGGTAATATCTCTTCACAGAGAACTGGTTTTCTTTAAGGTTTTTTGTTTTTATTCCAGGTACCAAGAGATAAGAGTGTTTTCGATAAAGATGATGTCTAGCTCCAATCTCATGTAAGCCACTATGACATCTCATAAAAGTATGTTTATTAGATTCTCTGTTTATCATTAAAAGGGCTGTGCATGCGTGTGAAGCTATGACTGAACATAGCTCATATGAATGACGAAGTTATTTGGCCAAAGGCTTTACAATAAAAGCTGTACTGTCTCCTCCTGTCCTGTGAAGGGTGCTAGAGTCACTTCAGCTAGCACAGCAACCTAATGTGCTGGGGGTTTGATTTTAAAGGGGGAACTTTCACGCGCTTGTCTGTGTTGTTATCGGTACCTGTATTGTCTGTATTTATCGATTAAATTCAGCGACCTGAAATAAAGTAGAACAATGACTAAACTGGATCGTCTGAACACTTTCATGACCGAGCGCTTGATGGCTGCTGTGAAGGAGATCATCTTCACAGTCGGCAGAACGGTTCGGGAGTATGAGGAGGAAACGGAGCGAATCCGGAGCGAAAACAAGCGATTGAAAGAAATGTTGCGAGACTCTGGGTGCTTCAGCGAAGAAACAAATGCCGGTAAGACGAAAATATGGTGAATGTTTCGGTCATGTTTAGAACAGGGCATAACATTTTGATTTGATCTATATATTTTTTTTACATCAAATGTTTTCATTTGTCCGCGTGTTTTGGTTGTGGTCCCGAGTCAATGTTTGATTCATGACCACGAGGTAATTCATAAATGTATCTATTTTTGATTACATGGCATTCGAGGATGTGTGAATCAACACTGACCTTAATAATATTATGAAAAAAATGCACATTATAATAATAATAATAATAATAATAATAATAATTCATTACATTTATATAGCGCTTTTTCAAGGCACTCAAAGCGCTTTACATTGTCAGGGTCAATGTCGTATACAATGTTACATTGTATAAGAGTCAAGCAGTCCATTAAATAAAAATGCTGTTTTTGCTTTTAATCCTGTGTAATCCAGTTTTATCTAGTGTACTCTTAAATATTTGCCGAAATACTATTAAATTCTTTCGAAATTGGAAAACGGACCAGAAACGGACTCATCCTGCACTCGTGGCGTGTCCAATTTTTGTCCAATCAGATGCTTCAGAATATACATTTCACAACAATAACTAGTAGCAAATGATGGTTCACTGCTGTGACATAAGTTAAACTCGACATGAAATGAAAATCGACCCCATCTATATTCTGTTTGCATGTTATTGATCTTATGAGCCATTAATCCATATGCATATGTTTTTTTTTCTTCTGACGACTTAATATTTAATCAGGATATTATAAATCAGTCTTCCGGTGAAATTACTTTTCTCTGGAGACTTATGCATGTCTTCTCCAATAATTTAGTCCACTTTAAGCATGCCACTGCAAGCTCACATTCACCTGCTTGCTTTGAGCACAATGCCTATGTCTCAAAATCCAATCAACAACCAATGACTAGAATTCAGTCCATGCCTTAGAATTTTTCTTTTTCGATAATTGATTTCACTCGAATGTACGTCACAATGTGGAAGAAAAGATATGTCGCTACCTCTATTTCATCACTACTAAGACTGGTTCTTAAAAAAGTGAGGAGAAGCCTTCTAATATATTCTGTTCCAGCACATTACAGATTCACGTGGATTTTCAGTTCAACAGTATCTTTTTATCTGCATGAAGTAAATGTTATTATGTTGTTGTTGTTTTTTCAGCTCCTGTGCAGTCTTATCAGCTCGTCTCCCCTGGGCAGCCCGGATGGATCTGCAGCCAGAATGAGGAGCCAGAACCTTTTGAAGAGATCCAGCAGGACCAAAGCCAGAGGCTTGGTGAACAACATCCCTTCATAAAACCGGAAAAGCCTGAGTACTCTGTCGATGCTTACAGGGAGTCTGTAGCTTTGCCATCAAAAGCCAGCATCAACAACGAAGGCTCACACGTGTGTGCCGATCACACCGACACAAATCCTATTGAGGATGAAATGACAAACTGTCATTTCCCATCTAAAATCAAAGTTGAATTCATGAACTCCAGCTTGTGTTCAGGCGATGCAATGGGAAGCACTGAAGATGCATATCAGAGCTGGTCGCCACACAGTCCAGATTTGCCTTTAGGGGCTTCAGACATCTACAGAGCACAGCATCCAAACCAGCCAATATGCGCTAACAGCGAAGCTCCTGCCACAGTATCTCAGCATAGCAGTTCATCTCATGATGCCAATCACGTTTCATATCACAACATATTATGTACAAACAGGGCCTACTGTAGCAGTAAATGCTGTGAAATGCAAAAGAGGACAATAGCCAAATCAAGCCCTGTATGGAAGTATTTCTCTCTAAAAGATGGAGACTGTAGCAAAGCAGTGTGCCTTATGTGTAGGGCCGTCATATCTCGTGGTCGCAAAGAATACACAACGTCGGCTCTTCTAAAGCACCTTCGGATGAAACATGGTAAATGTTGACATTATCATTTGTCATCTGATTTTATATATGCAAATATATGTACAGTCTTTTCTGTTCAACTACTTTTACGGTGCTTGAATAATAGGATAAATATGAGGAAAGCCAGACATTATCTTTGTGTTATTCCTGCAGGAAATGCGCTAATCTTTGGCAGTGCTAAGAAGAGACGAATGAAAGAAATTACGAGAAAGACTGTGTGAAAACCACTCTTGAGTCAGTATGGACACTGGCTATTGTGCATCATGGCCAACCTTTAAGTGTTTTCAAACAAATTGTTTCATCAAAACCTACATCATATGGAGTGGGTTGAGATAGAGAAGTCAGAAATGTAAGCTTACAAGAAGTCATCTAAGCTATTTGGTTATGGTTACAGAGAAAGAGTTGGGGAAAAATGTCACAATCTTTAGCCTGTAAGTAACTGGTGAATGAATTTCATCATCGTCAACAAAATAACAGGATGTACATACTAGCTAGGACAAGATTAATCTCAAATAAAAGTAATAAAAATAAATAGATTTAAGAATTGTACAGACTTTTAAAGAATATTTTACCACCCCACTGAAATGTAAGATGTTCAGGTTTGAAGTTTTAAACTTGATTTGTCTTTTATAGTCATTTTTGCAATAAATGAATCATGGTTTAACAGAGTGTTGAGAATTCTGTTTTTTGTTGTTGTTTCTGTGAGCCAGTTAAACATTTTTAAAAAGTTTGTTCAACTTCCAAATCTTGTATTTATTGATATAGGAACATAAATAACGGAAGTTTATGCATGTGTTAACAATGCTCAAGCCTTGCCCCTTTCTGCCCAGAGTTGAGTTTTAACCCTTTGATGCACAAGCTTTGAAAACCCCTTTTAATGCACAACATTGGTCTAAAATGACCCATATTAATTTCCTTTGTAATTTCATGCTTGGCTGAGCAGTCGGGTCACTTTAGACCCATGTTGTGCATCAAAGGGTTAAAAAAAAACAAGATTCTGTAAGTCATAATGAGAAACTTTCTCGTAATGACTTAGTTTCTTATTATGAGACGTGAAGTCATTATGAGAAAGTTTCTCATTATGAGATTATACTCAAGTCATAAGTCTTTTTTTGTTTCTAAATCTTTCTAAAAACAACATTAACTCAATTATGGGAAAGTCATCATAATACATAATTATACTAAATTATAAGAATGTTTCTCATTATGATATGCTTAATCATCATTATGAGAATTTCTGTCAATATGAAATATTAAGTTATAATTATGAGAAAGTCTCATTATTATGACTAACAGAATCATTGTTTTCACTCAACTGAGGTAACAGGCAAAAATATCATATAAATGAGAAACCTCATAATAATGACTTGACCTGTCTCACAATAATAATCTGCTAATTAATTAGTAATGTATGCATGCATGCACATTATTATACATCATGTTTCTCATTATTATGACTTGCAGAATCAGGATCAACTGAGGTGAATATGGTTCTCCATACATCATTGTCAAGGATTCTACCTTCAGGCAGTCAAACCAAACTTATTTTAAAAATTGCCATGGCAACCATAGTGGATTCAGTGGCATCACTTTCAAGCTTTCAAACTTTTCAATCATGTCGAAGATATGATATTCACAGAAATATTGGTTATTTTATACAAGGTGGGAGTACACTCTTAGTACACTTTCTGTGGGTACCAGCATGTTGGGTACAAGGAAATTAAAAAGCAGACAAAATGGCTAAGGGAGCACCTAATTTGGATAATGATAACTTAACAGTCAATTTAAGCAGGGAAGGAGGAAAGTGTTTGATTCAACAACCATGTTATAATAGATTTTTTTTTTTTTTTACCATGTTGTAATAGATGGCAGAAGTACTGGGACACATGTGAGAAAGGCAGACATTTGCACAGTATTCAAAGTAACAAAAAGATGACATTAAAGGGGTCATATGATGCGATTTCATTTTTTCCTTTCTCTTTAGAGTGTTACAAGCTCTAAAAAAAACGGAAGTACTCAGTACTTAGCTGAAGCACCTTTACAGCCTCAAGTCCTTTTGGGTATGATGTGTCAAGATTTGCTCATCAGCATTTGGCAATTATCTGCCATTCTTCTCCTTGTCTCTTCCCCTCTCAAGCTCTGTCAGGTTGGATGGGGGCAGACACACATTTTCGCCTGGTTTCCTTCAAACTTGATGCTTGGAATTGAGGTTCATCATACCAGAAAATTTTGTTTCTCACAGTCTGAGGGTCCTTTAGGTGCTGTTTTGCAAATTCCAAGTGTGTTTTCATGCATCTTCACTGAGGAGAGGATTGAGTTGGCCACATATAAAGCCCAGATCGGTGGAGTGTTGCAGTGATGTTTGTCCTTCTGTAGATTTCTCCTATCTCCACATATGATCATGGAGCTCAACTAGAGTTTTGACCTCAGGGCTTGGTTTTTGCTCTGATATGCATTTTCAGCTGTTAGACCTTTTATTAAGTCATGTGTGCCTTTCCAAATCATACACATTCAATTGAATTTGCCACAGGTTAAATTCACTTGAAATGTAGTAACATCTACAAGCAATTTGAATGCTCCTGATCTAAATTTCAACTGTCCCAGATAATTACTTATGCAATGGGATCATTTAAGTTTTTTATTTTTAATCAATTTGCAAAGATGTTAAAAGCCTGTTTTTTGCTTTGCCATTATAGTGTATGGAGTTATATTACACTTCTATGGAGTGTAGAATGACGTGGGGAAAAAAAGTAATTTAAAGCAATTTTAACATAAGGCAGCAACATAACAAAACGTGAAAAAAAATTCTTTTTTTGAATACTTTTGCAAGGCACTGTAGTTCTCTGAATTTAAATCGAGATTTATCATGAACTGACTGCTCAACCGTACGGTAGAGTTTTAAATCTTGTATAAATTAAAAAAAAATGCTTGAGGCTATTTATTAGATGTCTACTAATAAGAATTTTAAGTTAAATCATTTTTTTCATTATCTCCTTTTAGAGGTGAATGTTAAAGGGGTCATATGACGTTGCTAAAAAGAACATTATTTTGTGTATTTGGTGTAATGAAATGTGTTTATGCGGTTTAAGGTTAAAAAAACACATTATTTTTCACATACTGTACATTATTGTTTCTCCTCTATGCCCCACCTTTCTGAAACGCATCGATTTTTACAAAGCTCATCGTTCTGAAAAGCGAGGTGTGCTCTGACTGGCCAGTTATCCAGTGCATGGTGATTGGCCAAATACCTCAAGCGTGTGACGGAAATGTTACGCCCCTTACCATACTGTGATGGAGCATTTGAGGCATTTGTTGCATCCAGTGGGGACATAACTACGGATTATAATGATTTATACTGTCTTTTTACGCATTGCGTTTTTGGAAGACCAAACAAAGTAGTTTTGCTTTCACAACGAAACACACAGCGTCTCCACAACATGGTGGCAGCAACAATAATGCAGCGAGAATAAAAGTTACGCCTTCTTTCTTTGCGTGAACATTTGGGTGGCGTTATGCAAATCTTCCCACACAGTGACGTAGACATGTGGGGGCGTGTTTAAACGAGACGTTTTAGGAGGGCGTGGACAAGTCTTAACTTTTATAAAGAATATCTCTAAAATATATTTAGTCTTTGCAACTTTAGGGATCTTATCTATGCACGAACAGCTTGTAACACTCCAAAGAGAAAGGAAAAATTTTAATTGCATATGACCCCTTTAAAGGGTTAAGAATGACTAAACGCCCCACTCAACAAACAACACACGGGTCTATGTAATATTTGTTAGACAAAGAAACAGTAGAACATTAATTAGATGTGCCGAATATGAACAGGATTACAAGCTTCTGGAATTCCAGAATTCACTTAGTGCTGTATTTTAAATATCTGACCAAAAACTGGTAGAGCAATAATGACGAAAAAATGACTCTAGGTGGTGTTTGCATTCTGTCTATTTGGTTTGCAACCCACCAGTAAATCCAGAGAAGAAGGAGGAGGAAAAGAAGGAGGAGGAGCAGAAGAAGAAGTGTGAACAGTTCTTTCTGTACCTTCGACTCCTCTCCTTTGGTTGGCGCTGAATCACTGCTAAATCGGTTTATTTCTGTGGTTAAAGAGGAACATATACATGGTCATATGACCACAGGGACTTGCGTTTACATTCTGCCTTACTGTACGCCGAAATAAAATAACTGCGAGCTAACAGCAAAATGACCAAGCTGCAGGTCATCAACACGTTTCTGACGGAGCGCTTAATGGCGACGCTGAATGAAATCATGGACATGATCGGCGGGACTGTCCTGCAGTATGAAAAAGAGCTGGACAGCGTGCAGAAGGACAACGAGTATCTGAGACGGAGACTGAAGGAGATTGAGAAACTCGTCGAGTCAAACGGTAAGTTATACTGACCCTTCATAGAAAATAGCGCGTTCTGCCGAGGTCAGCCGTTATTTACTTTCTTTAGGCAAATTACCATGGAAACCATGGTTTCCGCCAAAATACCATAGTTACAACAGTACAATAATAATAAAATAGAATAAACAGAATCAAATAAAATAAAAATTGAAATAAAGAAAGAAATAAACACCACATGTCATGGGAAGTTTGGGAAGTTAGTAATATCTAGTTACTGTTATGTATGTAAATGTTTAATATTTAAAATAGTCTATTTCATGTATGGAACAGGAAAAATTACATATAGACATATGTCCATAGTACGTTTCAGGATTATTCTAGGTAACTTAGCCTGTATCGTCAAAGGAGGGGTAAATATTGAATAACTACCGAAGTATTGCCCTAAAACTAGACAAATATAGTGTACTACAGCCAAATAAAATGTCGATTTTAGGTAATGCTCTACTGTTTAAGCTACAGGAATATATTAATTTTATAGGAATGTACTATAACATTGGACTGTTAATGCTTATAATAAATTAGAATCCTTTTTTAAGGAATTTTTTTTAAGGAAAACCATGCTTGACTAGAAACGTTTCACTTAAATTATGAAACTATTTGAATGCTAAACCACTGGCACTTGAAGAAAACAACTTTGTCTATGTATCTAAAACAATTTTTGAATGTGAAAATGTTAAAATCTGTAATTCATATTAAAGCTTTTAAGTCAAAGATCTTTATAAAAACATACATTCAAATTTCTGACTGGAAATGTTTGAATCTGGAACTGTATTAGTTAAGTTAAAGCAGGAATAAACTACATGACTTTTTAATTAGTTAACAGATTTGAAACTACTAGGCATTATACACTAAACGACTGAAGATCAGACTTTAGGTCTCTGAACATCATACACTACACAATTTTCTGTAAAATCTGACTTACAGCAACAAAAATCTTGACAAAACATGTTTATATACCAGTCTTAAGTATGAGTTAGTTTAGTGTTTGGATACTATTTTTCCACCTGATCACGTCACACCTTTCCTCTTTTACAGGTCCAGCTATTTCAAACCCTGCCCCATCATCTCCACCACCGCATCTAAAGTGGACTTCTAGCATTGAAACTGAAACCATGCCTACAGAGATCTATCAGAATCAGAACCAGGTACAAATCGAACAGCTCTCCAGC